AACATAAGATCGCAGGCCCAAAACAGTGCACTGACACAGTCTCAACTCCATTTTTCATTATCTGCTGGTTCTCGTTATACAGGAGACTGAGTTCGAAGAACTGAATGCACGGTGTTCGGTAACTTTGTGGGCGGCAGGTGCAAATGAACTCCAGTTGTCATATGCCTGTAGTGTTGATACCGACAGTCCAGAAGGCGATGACACGCTTAGACAAAGTTTGATAAGTAGAGAAATCATTCTCCAAGACCAAAATTGTTTCATTAAGATCATTTAGTGCCTCTAACTGGGATATCTTTTGAGGCCAAAAAATCACAGTTCGCCTACGACCTCTCCTTTTTTATCTGCTTTTTGCACTAGATTTTCTTTTGTAAGCTATTTGAAAGTGTGTTGGTGGCACAGAGGTTGATTGCTCGCCAACCACGCAAGTGGTTGGAGGTTCAATTCCCTGCCAACGCATTCCTTTACCTTGCTAAGCCAGTAATAAGGAAGGTTGGGCATGAGGATAGCAATCCTATCCCATAGAAATAAATACCACAGCTACCGAAACTTCAAAGCTCTAGCTTGAAGCTTTATGCTCCACTGTGTACGTAAAGGAATAAAAGAAACTATTTGAAGTAAAACTGAGAACCAGTTACTACTTTGGACTGGTGAGAGCTGGAAAAACCCACGACGGCAAGTTGCTTGTGCTGAAAATAGAAGATATCACTTCCAGAATACTGCAAGGTGCAGTACTGGGACTTACTTTGCACAGTCACCGTCATAAATTTGATAGAAGACCCCAGAGCTCTTATCCTCCCCTCTTCTGACAACCCGAAATGACTCAGGATTTTGGAAAGCGGAAAAGGCGTGAAAGGCGCTCAAGACATCCATATAGCATTCAAGTTTGCCACGATTTATCGATCAGTTTTTCTGCCTGTAACCCTCAATTTCAGCTAAAACTTTTCAAGCCAGTTTGCAATTAAAAAACCAGAAGAGTACTGACTGAAATGTGTTGTCATTGTTTATGCCTATAATTTACCATTTACGTCTAGGTCAATAAATTCTTGACTAAACGTAGGATCAGTATTTTTCCTCCGTTATTTGGGCATCCAACCTACCAGCCTAAAGAAGGTGGGTTGGAACAAGGAGCTGGCAGTGTGTACATGCAAGGCATGTCCGCGTACACCAAACATCAAACGGAGTTATGCAATTAAGTAAATCTCTTGAACCACAAGCATCCATCTCAGAAATGTTCCAGCAAGATGAACTTCACTGATACAGCAATTATACTCCCCCTACTCACCCTTTATTTACCACTATTTTTCCTTTTTGATCTTCCATTTTCTTAAAAAATATTCGGCCCAAAATTTTTTATTGTTTGACGTCATGCATTTTATTAAATTTCCCCTGTTCACCGACTATATGCCCATACTGGTTATTTTCAAGCTGTTAGGACGAATTTTTTGGGACGCGAAAACTACCACTTCTCAAAGAAGTCATAAACTTTCCGCAAAAGAAGCCGGCATTTAATTGGTTAAATGTAATGTATTTGAGCCAAGTGAATATCTAGAAGTGTTTTGCGCTCCTATGACGATAAATTATTTTCCAAGCTGTCTGGATTTACGTTGGACGTTGGATGACCTAGACAGCTCATTTTCAAAAAATGACCGCTGATGTCCTGAAATCTTTGGTAAGTCAAATTTGTTCTATGGTTATTGTATTTTAGCCTCCCGATGTGCGTACTTTGAAATTAACGGGGCATGTCGGTTTTGACAGTCTTCCAGACCAGCTAGTTAATAAGGCTATTAGCCAAGGGTTCGTCTTCAATGTACTGTGCGTTGGTATGTTCATCTTCTTGTAACTGACTCTCCGAAGGAGAAACTGGTATCGGAAAGTCCACTTTGCTAGAAACGCTGTTTAATCAAAAGTTCGATTTCAACCCCTCACCACATGATCTGACAGATCCAAAACTAAAGGCTGTTACTTATGGTATTGCTGTGTTCCACATATATTTTTTTCCAGACCTCAAAGAAGCCAATGTTAAGCTGAAATTAACAGTGGTAGAAACTTGCGGATATGGTGACCAGATTAATCAGGATAACAAGTAATGCCCCATATTCATATAACAATGTTTAGCATAAAACCTATTGTGGACTACATTGATAATCAGTTCGAAAACTATCTCCAGGAAGAGCTAAAAATGAAAAGATCTATGCACACATTTCATGATACCAGGGTCCATGTATGCCTTTATTTTATCGCACCTACAGGGCACAGGTACGTTTCAAGTGTCCATTTGCATTATTTGTAAAGTTATTACATAGAATTAAGGAAATAGAATTGTTTCACTATTTTTCATATGATATGACAATCGTGTCACTGGATTGTCAGATTTACTGCATTCACTGTACTAAACGTTTCATCAATAGTTCACGTGAGTGAGTCAGTGTATGAGGTTGTAAAGGTACATTGATTGGGATGGTTAAGATATGTGTTGCACAAGCCAAGCCACCGCCTTCATCGTCGAGCCATATTGGGTGACATAGGGTTGGGTTGGGAAAGAGTTAGAGGAGGTCAAACTAAGACCTGTCATTAGTCCATGTAGTCTTTGACTGTCGGTCTGAACCACTCCGAAAGTTTAGACTGCCTGGTTGAGGTCCTTGGGATGCTTAGATCCAATAGCTGGAGTCTTTCTAATATGACTCAAAAGCGTTCACAGTGACTCACCATTTGTGATCTCTCAGTTCCCTTAAACCCTCATGTCTTTTCATTTTACTATTGTTTCTCCTTCATATTCCGTTTGAATCTTTTTCTCTACCTGTGTGTATGGAGTGTGGTAACTTAAACTGCTGCAATTCTGTGCGGAGGTCATTTTTGGAACTTAGTCATCAGTGATTAAAGTATTCTCGAAAAAGAACTTTGAATGCGGTCTGAGAAAACTGAGTAAAATATGTTAGAGAGGATAAAAATTTGTGGACTTCAAGGTGGTAACACTGACGAATAAATACGAGTGAAGGAAAGGACAGTTAAGGATTGGTGTTCACAATTGATATATCCACGCTATTGTGTACTATTTGATTTCACTTAGTATGGCACAGACATTTAATTGAGCGTTTACTTTGACCCTTCATGGCTGAGTTATTTTACCATTTCACTGTTATAAAATAGTTATGACTTACCTTAGTAAGGTTGTGGATTAGGTAAGTGTAGTATTTTTCATAAAAGTGCCACATTTCATAGTAAGGTATTTCATTCATTTTCTATATTGTTTTGTGCTCTATCCTGTTGTCTGTTTAGTAAATAGCTTTGCTAATCTAGTGTTTTTCTCTTTTATGTAGTTTAAAGTCCATCGACTTGGTTGCAATGAAAAAACTGGAAAATAAAGTTAATGTTATCCCCATCATTGGAAAATCCGATACCATTACAAAGTCTGAACTACAAAAGTTCAAAGCAAGAGTATGTTGTCTTTAGAGTTGATAAAGGTTTTGATTAATCAACTAATTTTAGATTCTCAGCGAGATACAATCCAACGAAATTGGTATTTACCAATTCCCTACTGATGACGAAGCTGTTAGTGAAACTAACAGTCTTATGAACGTAAGCTTCTGTGATTAGTTTGACGCCTTTCTTTTTTGAATTTTCACTTTTATTTAAGGAATATAACTCGGGAAATTAATGTTTGATTATCAGACAATGAGTTGCACCCAAAATTTGTATTATATGAGGTAGAGTAGGTAATATTCGAATCCAAGACCTTTAGTTTGATAGTCTAGTTTGTAAGCCTATGAGTCATTTCCATTTAATATTACCAAAATTACAAGTAGTTTACATGCTCTTGTGTGTACAAGTCATTATCTCCTGGTTGTTCCGTACAAAATAATATTAAATCTTCGGATGCCTTCAAAGCAAAACACCAGTCTTAATTTTGGGCTGATGTTTGATTAAATAGTAATGAAAACATTCATTAAGAGTCAGTCACTTAAAGACGGCATTTTTTAGTTTTGTTGAATTTTACTGTTTTACTGTAACCATTATTATCAGTTATTCTCCACCGATATTCAGTTATTAAAAGGTCATATTTTTATTTCTTACCAGTTTGATGGCTTTGTTCGAACTGCTTACTTAAACACACTACGACCCTTTTATGTAGAATAATGAGTATCCAAATATCTTTCCAAACTGTATGGTTATAAATTCATAATTACCATAAGTGTTTAAGGCATAAATACACTTGTCTGAAATACTTAGCATTATATACGGATATAATTGAGTGCAGTTGAATGCTATCAGTGAAATGGTACCTAGTTAAAGTTTATTGCAATTCAAATACACATAGAATGATAATTGACTGGAACATAAAAGTGTGTATCTGAAAGTAATTGATGTGTACATCTATAATATGCGACCCTGACAATTTCTGTTAATGGAATTAAAGTTATTTTCTAGTTAACCATATAACAACTTGGTTGGATACATTCTCAGAAGACACACAAAATGAAGCGATACAGCCTTTGATAGACTAGACAGTGTTTGGAAGAAAGAAGGAGTAACGCGGTTCAACTAGTATCTTGTAAGGTCATGTTATATTCCATATAAGCCGTCGTATTTTATCACAAATAGTTACGTCCAAACGTAAAGTGGAGTAAAGTTATCCGTGTTCATAGTAATAAGTTCAACCAACTAGCACGAAACCTAGGTCCAAGGCTTCCTGCCGATTGCCTCCAACCATCTAATATCATCAAATCAATGTGCACCGTGATGGTGAGCAACCTAGAATGGCAGCCACATTGCAAACCTGACTGATAGAATTCAGTCTGCACCAAACAAAGAACTAGACACATCATATTAGTTTCTAGTGTCCAATCAAACTTCAACCACTTCGGTAAATCGAAAACCACCTACCTCAACTATCGCAGTCACACGTATAGGTAATAGGTAAAATCTGCTCGTTAAATGTTCATCGTAAATAAATTCGCTGTAATAATCGTCTGCTGCATGTTATTTTCTTCGTTTACTTGAAGCAACATATCCCATTTGCTGTCGTGGGTAGCTCAGAAGAGACTAAAATCAATGGCAAGACAGTACGTGTACGACAATATCCATGGGGTGCAGTTCAAGTGGAAAATGAAAACCATTGTGATTTTGTTCGACTTCGAGAGATGCTGTTGCGTGTGAATATGGAAGATTTACGTGAACGTACTCACGGTGTCCACTATGAAACCTATCGACGTCAACGTCTAATTGAAATGGGATTTCGTGATGATGAGAAAATGTCACTTCAAGTAAATATTTTTCTGTATAAATAATGGCGCAGGTGCATTCACTCTTTGTGATTTATAATGTCCAGTAAAATTCTATTGTTCTTCCATATTACTATTCTTTTTGCTTCATATTTCTGTTTATTATCTCTCTTTTGAATCTGTCTTTACTCTCTTCACTTGCTTTGTATGCTACATGGGGTGTGGCAACTCGAATTGGTGCACATCTGTGCAAAGTTCTACGTTGAAACCAGTCAGTCAGTTTATCCGCTCCACTCATATTGTTGACTATATAGTAGGCTTGCTAAACATATTACACGTATCGGTTCACCGCAAGTTTTTCAATAATCCACGGAATATAATTATTAACGAAATGGATTGTATAAATAAAAGTGATACTTGGCTGAAGTGTTTCTGTAAAATCGACTGAAGTGACTGAGTAAAGTGGTTATTTAGAAGATGAAAAATATTCCTTCTTCTAAGTTATATCCTCTTAAAGATTGACTAAAATCTGTTTTTAGCTCTTGATAATAATAATATTATTGTATACACAAAGGCCAAATCTTCTCGTCTGCGTTATGACTTCTAAAAAGTTTGATGAACTCTTATGAACTGGGTTTGGTTACCTTTCGAATTAACTGTTTTACTAAAGATTTTTCCATTGGCCTAAGTGTTTTGTTTGATTATTCGCCATTCACCGAGATGAAACAATAAAACGTGATACTATTTATTCACTTTTCTTAGTCTGTGGGATTCATCCTCTTGTTTGTTTATTTGCAGCTTGTTACTACCGTTAAATTATTTTTTTTATCGAAATATTCTATTTTGGGTCTTCATTCAGTGTACTGTTCTTCTTCTCTACAGGAAACTTACGAACAGCGTCGTGAACTTCAAAGAAAAGAGTTACAACAGAAAGAAGAGGAAATGAGACAAATGTTTGTTCAGCGTGTTAAAGAGAAAGAACAAGTTTTGAAAGAAGCTGAGCGTGAGGTAAGTTTTTGAAAGAGTTATCAGTCCTTGTGCAAAAGTACTTACATACATAACTTTTCTGACGTCAGTAATGTTGTATGTGTATATAGTAATTCTTATCATTAACTAAATGGTGTACACATTCAGTTCCATTGAACACTGCTAATTTTCATTGAAGTTAAGCATAGTGTTTAGTTCTAAAGTGCTGTTAGTTTGCAAGGAATGGGTTGATTTCAAGACTGATCACTAACTGGCTTCAGTTATGAACCAGTGAAAACCGGGGAGTACTGGGCAGCTGTCTTGTCCTTGTGTGTGTGTAAGGACAAATGCTTGCCGATGACATTATCTGGCGGTCGCACTATATGCATCGCAAATTGGCATAAGTTAGAATTGACGGACCATTGGATTCTGTCCTAGAGGCTGCATGACCTACGAGGTCATCATGTAACCTGAGGGTTCTGGGTTTTCTCCCTAGTGGGATCATAGGTGTGCAGGGCTGAAGAGACTGAAAAACAAGGGTGAAACGGATGTCCAGTATTCCCTGGTGGTGGTTGTCAACGGTTCTCTAAACGAAGTCAGTTCGTTATCAATCTCATAGTGTTTAGTGCTACTGCTTACTGCAACATTATCAACACACTTCGCTACAGTATTCACTAATCTATGGATATGTGCTTTGTTGGGCATCAAATATTTTAGCCATTTGCGTTAAGAAATGTGATGGAAAATAAAATTGGAAACAAATACCTTCCAGCGTTCTTATTAAAAAAGTACTTAATTCTTTATCCGAGTCGTCCTGTTGAAAGTTAGATTAAATATTCTACTCATTGGTATTTCATCCTTTTTATGCTTTAATCAATCACACTTAAACCTAGTAAGAGTTTTTCAACTATTATATGTGTATACTGGTACTGCAATTCCACGAGTAATAAAGTTTCTCCTCTACCACCAATATCTGTTAAAGTCTGCATTTTCACACCTTTTATTATTTAAACTATGACATTTAATGCTTTATGTGTCAAGGATTTTTTTCAATAAAAGACCAAATTTGCAGTATAAAATGATATTCTATTTCACAAGTTCTCAATAACTGCAAACTATTTGCAATGTTTGAACGACAGTGGAGAAAACGTTACAAAATTAAACTGTGAAATAGAATGGCGTCATTTTATGCTGCAAATTTGGTCTTTCTTTCTTTATCGAAATTCATCAAGGGAGCCAAGCGTATGATTTTTTTTCCCACTTATCGATTATCCATCATTTTCATACACCTGTTCAATTTAATGATTACTTTTCACTAAATGCAGATTGTTCGTGTGTATGTGTGTAGTATCTAGCCATCGATCAGAGGACGTATGTACGGCACAGCATTTCTCTCTGTCCTTCTTTGTGGTGACTGTGAAATATTGAAAGTTGAGGTACTGAATATGCGAGCTGTCTTTGACCACAGATGTTTGAATTCTCTCTCCCGTAAGTAATATTGAGGCTAGGTGTAGAATGTTAGGTAAGGAGAGAAAATCAATCGTTGAGGTTGTGAAATTGCTTCGATTTAAGTGGCTAAGATGTATGCTACACATACCAAGTCATCGCCTTCCCCATAGAGTAATATAAGCTGACATAGGATTGATTTGAGAAACAGAGTTGGTCAAACTAAAACCTGACATCCATCCGTGAAGTCTTTGAAAGTTGGTTTAAGTCAAGCAGAGAGGTGTAGACGGCCTGGTCGCCGTCCTCATGATACTAAAAACAAATAGTCAGAGACTATTCGTGATATGACTCCAAACCGTTCAGTTTTTGTAGTCTTTCATATCCATTAGACCCTCATATTTCTGCACGTTACTGTTATTTCTTCGGCACATCTCTGCTCATTCCAGTTCTTTTGAATCTTTGTTTCTCCTTTTTTCTCTACCTTTGTGTGGTATATAAAGTGTGGCAACCTGAACTGCTGTATTTCTGTGCAAACATCTACGTTGAGACTAATTCAGTCAGTCATTATAACTTTATGAAAATTAAATAAATAATTACTATGTAGTGTTTAGCCTATGACTCCTTCTGAAAAATGTGTATTCATCCATTGCTAGCTAGAACTCAGATACGCTGGAGGAATTTTCCGTAGCTCACCTGTATTTTGTGAAGGATGATCATACTACCCAGTCTGCCGCAGACTGAAGTGGATTGAGATGGGATTCAAACCCAGGACTTAATGGCAAAAGTCGAGTGCTGTATAGTCAGTAAGCCTTACCCCCCCCCCCATACACACACACTCACTACTTCTTTACCTTTGTTATTTGAATTCACTTCGAGAAAGAAGTTCTTTTCCGTTTTCTTTATATCCACTGCTTGAAACTTAAAATTCATTTCCATTGTTTTATTGTTGTTATTCGTATGTGAGTAAGAAAAAAAAAGTCGATGCGGTGCTGTACTCTCACTAAATTTGTGTCCTTCAATGCACAGAGTTCGGAATTCATTTAAATGTTAATATGCATATTTGTAAAAAGTGTTCTCTATATGGAGTAGGTGATTTAAATAAATGTAAATTAGCTATTTAAGTAAAAGTCGGTGATTCACATTTAAGTATGTGAAAAAGTTGTAGTATTCTCATGTCACTAAAAATGAATACACTTTAAAGGTCAATTTCTGTTCAGTATGACTTGATGCCTTAAAACACATAATCTCAGATATTATGGTCTAAAAGTTGTCAATACGTTCTCAAATATTTAATTAACCAGTGGATTTCGCAAATACGGTTGTAAACAGTTTGTCTAGATTTCTGATAACAATATCTGCGCACTTTGAATTCAAATATTCAAAACACTAATACAAATTGAATTGCTTAGACTGTCAAGTTTCTGGCCTAAAAATTTAAAAGTGCTGATCGCATATTTCACCTTAATTTTTAGTGTCTATTCGCAGGTGGTCCTTTATGGGTGATGAAACTCAAATCAGTTAACTACCAGTTCGAAAAATAGAGGCAAATAGAGAATTCTCAAACTAAGACATCAGTTACAACTGTGTTAGCAGGAGCAGCTTGGTTATAGGTGTGACACTGGTTATCATTTCTCAGTTTTTATCATTATTCCTGTTAAGTCACAACATCTGTTCGTCGATCTAGGATAGTATGGTGAAAAGTAGATTCTAGCAAATCTGGTATCGATTCAAAGTACAACTGTTAGAAAATAGAAGCTTAATTCACACCAATAAATAAATGTCTACTCATGTTCATTAAGTTCATATTCATTAAGTCCTCCTTTATGGCTGTGAGACCTGGCCATTGAGAGCAGAAGACATGAAAAGATTAGCTGTCTTCGATCATAGGTGTCTGCGTTCTATCTCCCGCGTGAAGTGGTATAATAAGGTGAGCAATATTGAGGTTAGGCGCCGAGTGCTAGGTAAGGCGGGGAAATCAATCGACGAGACTGTGAAATTACTTCGACTGAGATGGTTAGGACATGTGCTACGTATGCCTAGTCATCGCCTTCCTCGACGGGCAATGTTAGCTGATATAGGGTCAGGCTGGAAAAGAGCTAGCGGCGGTCAAACCAAAACATGGCACCAATCAATGAAATCCACAACAGTTAATCTAAGCCACGTAGGAAGATGTAGACTTCCTGGTTGGGGCCCTCGGGATGGTAAAAACCAATGGTTGGAAACAATTGGTGACATGGCTCAAAATCGCTCTCAGTGGCGCAGATGCATCCACTCCTTGTGACTTATGATTTCCAATTAAACTTTTGTTCTCCGTTATTACTATTCCTTTGTCTCACACCTCTGTTTACTGTCTATATTATGCATTTCTTCTACTTTCTTCTCTTGCTTTGCGTGCTACATAGATTGTGGCGACTTGAACTGCCGCACATATGTGCAAAGTTCTATGTCGAAAACCGACCGACCGAAGTTCTTAAAAATACTTTTCAATATTCGCTCAATTCCACATCACACGAAAGTTGCTGATTCGAATGTCATTTTATCTTACTTCTCCAAAGAATTACAGTTTGTAATCCCAGTAATACTGAGGGCAAACAACTAATTTTTCGACGTAGTTTTCCCAATTTTTTATTTCTTCCATATGTTGTTTTTTCATCATATGATGCAATAAGTTTGTAATCAATAATCTCAGTCCAGTAAACACAGGTAGTTTGACGGATAATCTGATTAGCATATAACTCTTGCACTATTGATTATAAATAATACAGTCTAGTATTTCTCAACTCATATATTTCTTTATCTATTTAGCTTCAAACTAAGTTTGAAAATCTAAAGAAAACTCACGCAGAAGAAAAAAAGAAACTTGAAGAGAAGAAACGTATCTTAGAAGAAGAAATCGCTGCTTTTGAACGTCGTAAACAACTTGCAGAGCAAGCAAGACAAGGGAATCTGACTATGAAGAAGAAGAAATAAGTGATCTGACAGAAAAACGCCAAATATTTTACCCACTCTCTCTAACCAATTCACATATATACAACAGCATTTTTGACTTCCGGTTACTACTGTTATTCTTCCTAATCGCAATGATCTTTTTTTAATTAATTAATCAGCTTAATTTCTGTTTTCTACAAACTTTTACCTTATGCCGAACTGATCAGCTAAATTGCATTTGGGAATTTTTTTCCTTCCGGAGCTATTCAAACCTACTTTATGCCTTTGTTATTTACCTACACTTTGTTGTAGGTGTTAATATAAATTTTATGCTTAATAACTTTATCTTTATTTATCTTGTGCAAGAAGAGAACAAGTCTAGGGGAAGCGTAACTTTTGTTACATCTGAGGTGGATGCGTGGGGAGTAAAGTATACAGTAATCCTCAGTTTTCTCTACTTTCTTAAGAACCCAATGTTATCACTTATTACTGTATGTGATTATCATGTTTGTCGCACTCTCCTGTGTTGTTGACTTGAACAAAAATTGTGACTTTGCAGGAGGTAAACATCCTGATATGTTGTAAATGTTTCTCCCACTTTGAATCTAAAGCAACAAATATTAAATAAGTAGTATTTGTACAATTCAAAGATTTTAATAGAACACACTAGCTTAATGTTCTATACAAGTTAGCATACGAACAAAATGGTTACGAATAGAATCTGATCATGTTTGAAATTAACAGAATCGCACTAACGAGCTGTTTTGATACTTCTTAATCATCCTAGGTTTTAAGCTGTCTGTCGTTTTAATGACGAATAGCTTTCGACTATTGTCTATTATTCGTATGTATTGCCGATCGGGTGATTTCAAATTTCTAGGCTTGTGTTTTCCTGAAGTGGAAGCAGCAGCTCAATATACAATCCATACTTGATACGTAAACTATCATAAAGATAACTGTCACACGTTTCTTCCATCCATAATACGAAGGACGTTAAGCGTCAAACAATAACGTGTATAACTAAACAGTAAAAATCTATATAAAAACATGACTTCGAGTATGTTTTTACAAACAATGCGATATAAGAATTGTAGGGTGTGTACAGTACATAACGCTACGACGAGTCAAATACACCTAGTGATTAAGGAATCCAGAAGGTGGAGATGAGTAACCAAGTAGCAACCATATATTCCTTATAATCTCTAAGGCTGGTATATCCCGTTCAAACATGAACATTATTCCATGTGTTCGACTATCTCTTCCAGCCTTACTTGTCCAAAGTCGTGACATAAAAATAAACGTTCAAAACATAAATACGGTTGCTGTGATAATACAAGCTGCTGATGGCTAGTCTGGGCAACCATTTTAGGAAAAAACTTGGCTTCTAAACAGATAATTCCGTCTCGCTCACCAAGAGCATCCCATTTCATTACAGTGAAGAATTGCTCAGATTATTATGATATTGGTTGTTTTATTTCCCATGTGACACGAGTGGAAATACATACCGAAAGCCCAGCAAAGTCAGAGGTGAATTCTGAAGGAGACAGCACAGTGTGAATAATTGAATGTCACAGACAGGACACAAATGCCCCTAGATTCATTAGAACGGAGATTGGATATTAGTTGCCGTAAAGACCAACGAAATCGGGGAGTCGATGCAAAAAGGAGAAGAGGCAGTCTTATTTGCGAATGTGGGAGAGATATTTATGCAGGTAAAAATCAGTTCTTAACCGTGGTGCATTGTGTCTCCTTGGTAGTCGGAGGGTGATATAATCAATGAGGCAAGACGTAAGGTTTCAGCCGCACATTAAGCATCTGATGGTCAGGCACCTCAATACGTTTACGCGTTCTTCGGTGGTGGGCGAAAGCCCGACTAATGCAGTGTGTTGATATCTATAGTCTGGATTATTATATACTTAGTGCATGTTGATGATGTGTTTCAATTGTCTTTCTAAATGTGTGTGTATGCTAACATTCTGTTGTCACAACGTCGCCTACTAAAGTATTGGCTTATTCATACGTCACTCGTACGCACCTTTTAGTATAATATTTTTATTCATTACAAAGTCTCATTTGCTAAGCACGGAAACTGAAGTCAAAAACTATAATTCTCCAGAAGTGAATTCTTTAGTAATCACCAAAGTTAGATAACCTGGATTTAATCCGCATGACCCATAACCGTGGCTAGCCCAACCAGAGAACTATCATGACTGATATAGCAATTACATTGAAATCACCAGGTGCACAGATGTGTGCCCCCAGTTACCTATTCATATAAGCAAGGAGGACAGGGAACAATTAATTCACACCGCAACATGCGCGTCAACGACTAACTGAATCCAATGTCACTGTAAACATGTGTAATTACATATCAAATTCGTAACCTTCCTTGAGAACGCGAGGTTTGCACAGCTTGTTGTGATAACCCTTCAGTCAACTTCCCACTATATTTCAGTCTAATTTCTTCACCATTTCGCCCATGGCATTGTGGTAAATGGAATTGCGCGATGCATACCTCAGTTATGTCATGACGGTAATGACTGAGAAAGGTGGTTATAGTGGACCTAAAACAGACGTTCAGTACTGCTAGCAATGTGTTTGGGCTACGTCAACCGTCCCCAAAATAACCCAGTCCGTTCTTAGGGTAACTTCAATACGGTTGATCAAGTTACATCCCACGGTCACCGTGAATGGTGTCTGTAATCAGTTTACTTCCCTGGTTATTATTCAACTTTCTCCACGTGCAAACGTAGTCTTTGTGTGGCGATTTTGTAACACAGTCCTACCAAGCCGAAACAGACAATTTGTTGAATCCGGGGTCTTACACAAAGTGTGAATCCAGGAACGTGAACAGAGTACCTGATAATAAAAAGTGAAGCATTTCACCTGAACAATAGATGAATTTTGGGAGCGCATATAAAGGAGCTGTTCAACTCTAGTAATCCTGTCATAACTGAACCCCCTAAGTCTACTGCATAGGTATGCAGTCCATTCAAACTCATGGCTGTGAAAAATAACGGATAAATTTATGAAGGTCTCATGCATTTTGCCACTGAAACCTTAGTAATATTGACAGCGTATTTTCCAATTTTCATACAAGCAAACAAGGAGTCAGGCGTGGGCTTCCAAATCAGACGTAGGTTATCAATTTCTGGGAAGTCGAACCGTATTACTCAGAATCGAGTTCGGGGTTCCATACGAGTCCATGCTTTGTCATCTCAATTTTTTGTTTGCTTTACCTAGTCTAGTAATATCTCACAATCATATGTGGCTGTGTTCCTTAATTACCAATTTTATGACAGATCACGTCGGCAGCAAAGACAATTTAGCGACTATTAGACAAACCTCCTGTATCCATGGTCAGATTTATCACCAACTAATCTTTACGGATGGATTCAACTTATCAGGTAGGTGAAATCGTCAGTACATTCAACTGTCTTACACTTATATTAGGAACAACATTACTCCTTGTTTTAAGTGAAGTGACTCACTAGTTGAAACTTTTAATGTTACACTGTATTGCACACTAAATTTAAACATATGCTAGTTAAAGTGAGGTGTATTATACACAAATAAGTCAGTTACATTTTGAGGTTTATCTGCAAATTATTCTGTTGTGAGATTTGCTGTTCATATTACAACACTTAGATATATGCTGCAGTAGTGATTCTGAAAGCCAGATCTTTGCATCGAGCCAACACAGAATACCATTATTTAGCCTCCCGTACATCAAAAGCACCATGAATTTTCAGCTAATTTAACCGGACCCCTGAAAGCCAACTTAGAAGTCTTCAACAGTAACGGAAAAAATTTGTATTATACAAAGGGGTTTACAAAAATCTGGATGTCAGATGCAACGGAGTTCAAACTAAATTTATATTGAGTTTGTTGTGGTTGCACGCTTGATTTTGATGAGCTCACGAGGTCTATCTGTTTGATCCACATCAACCATTCCTACAAGCAAAAGGTTAGCCTGATAACATGTCATTACCTAGACGTTGAACAACTTTCATACCAGAAGCAACACGGCCAAATATAGTGTGCTTCCCATCTAACCACTGTGTAGGAGCCAATGTGATGAAAAACTGGCTGCCATTAGTATTCGGGCCAGCATTCGCCATTGAGACAACCCCAGCACCTGATAACTACTTTGAAAACAAATTACACAATTGACGTACCTGTATGCTTGAGATCCGGGTGAATCTCATCTTCAAAATAGGCACCGTATATTGAAGCACCACCACGTCCAGTACCAGTCGGATCACCACCTTGGATCATGAAGTCCCGGATAACACGGTGAAATGCAACACCATTGTAATAACCACGTCTTGCTAACTCAGCGAAATTAAGACATGTTTTAGGGGCATGTTTCCAATACAACTCGATAGTTATCGTGCCTTGACTTCAAAGTGTATTATGCGAAACAAGACAGGCAGACAAACTTGGTGTCCAATACGACAAAAGCAGGTTGTTCTTGTAGCGACATCCTCAGCGGTAACGCATTAAATCAATTCAGCAGTGGAATACAGTCTTCAGTGTGCTCAATAAGGAAGTTGGTGGAAGTTTAATTCAAAACTTACAACCTATATTGTGTAAAAATTCATTTCAATCTCTTTATGTCAAACACTGGATGGTATAGTAATTTTCGCCAAATGTTTGGATAGATTATTGGCTGTTTCATTTATATTTGCGATGCATTTGGTCTGAAAATGAGTATTCTTTTTATTTCCAAACTACATAGTGCAATGTGTTGAATATATTCCCGAAAAAAAATTTAAGAACTATTTGATGGGGAAGAACTCATGAAGTGAGCAGGACACTGCCTAGGGTTTTGGTGAATTACCCGAAGATAAAACACGGTGATGCTGAAGTCATACATATGCTCGTTATAGTAACAGTGGAATTCGGATGTAGTACGTTCTGTTTTCCGTTACATTTTGGCATGATTCGTTATATGTTATCCATCTTTGTTTCGATCTCTCAAGAATGTTTTTCTGGTTCCAGTCCTGCAACCGTTAGCTCTTTCACTCACTAGTTATGTTTAACCATATGAAAAAGTTATGAATCCAGTCAGCTGCCAAGATGATGACTGGTGGAACATACCTTCTTGCTACAACAAGCAACTCAGAAAATGTTGTAGCGAGTCACACAGCTAGGCAGTGCTCTGCATATGTCGAGTCGCATTGTCACTACCATCCAACGCAGCTGCAACTAAGAGCGAAACTATGCTGACAAACTAATAGTACAATTGCTTCTAAAAAATAAGCACCTGGTCCTGGCATGGATCACATCACCGCACTCTATATACGTTTCACTAAACTTCAGATATATCACAAATATGTCTGTCTATAGGACGGCTGAAGACTGAAATACAGGAAGTAAAGTGCAGTAAGACTATGGATGCTGGATATTCAGAAGATATGACCAGCGTATCTGAACTATAAGCACAGATTAGTGACATAAGATCTCAGGTCTCTGAACCTACGTCCCTGAGCATCTTGAATAGAACCATAAACTTTGGCGAACTTGACACGAAATGGACAACCAAGTGAGACAATCTCATAAACTTCACCACAACATCGGTCATCACGAGACTAGATACAAAACTAAGTGTGATGGTCAAAAACATACTGGATAATGAGGGATTAAAAATGTTCTAGAGAACTTAGATGGGGAGATGAATATGCTCCACACTCAAACAAAGAGCTTCAGGGTGAAAAAGAGCCAGCTTGATCACCTTCAGTTTGAAAGATAGGAATACGTGGCCCACTATTGGTATGGCTTAGATCATCCCTTAACAACAGGTTCCAAATAGTCAAACTTGGGTCCGAGACTTCCAAACCCGGCCTAAACACTTCTGGTGCAGTTCAGAGTAACATCATAGGACCCCCTATTTACACCTCATATAAATGATAAATGCGCTTGGTTATCACATTGTAAGCCATTCATCTTTGCAGATGACCTAAAAGTAGCTTACACATTCCAATGTGATGACCTGGGGTACTTCTAGAATATTATATAGGATGAATTAGATAAAGTGGCTGCTTGGTCGTCTCTATGGAATCTACAACTGATTCTGAACAAATGTGGTTGGATCTGCTTGGGCTCATCCTCAATCGACATGAAATTAACGCTTCAATCTGCTAACCTACCCGGACTCCACAGCATCGTTGACTTAGGCCAAAGGTACTCTAGTGACCTAACATTTTCTGAGCAAGTGGCATCATGGACAGGGAAGTCGAGGATGCTCTTAGGATGCATACTCAGTAACTTTCACGAAAATGAAACTAAATTCATTCTATACAAAACGTGTTTGAAGCGACTGTTAGAACACTACCCATTGATTATTAGCAGCACTCGCAAACATGACAAGCCGAGGATGGAAAGTATCCAACGACATTTCACGTCCAAATTACCTGGATATGAAAGGCTACATCCCGCGGTGTATGAATCCAAAACTTGACACACTCTCGACGAGACGAATTATTGTATACCTAATATTCTTCTTAAAGTCCTACACAAAATGTTATTCTCAGACAGTTAGGAAAAACAATTCTCACCACAAGGCTCTAAAGGTCTGAGTAACCAAAATTCCATGGTAGACAATAAAACCTTTAAATCATCACTCCATGAAAACTTCTTCACTGTCATGCATCCTAAAATATGGAACAGTGTACCCTTAGAAATCAGAACCTGCACATTGGTAATAAGTTTCAGACACTCTTAGTACAGACTGATTACACTAAAAAACTGCTTATTTTTAGAACGAATCAATTACTAGATTCCTACAGTGTCTAAAGAACACGTAAAGCTGCACTAATTACTGTATAAACGATATAAACACTAGCCTCATAGGTAAGTAAAGAGACTAAGAGAACGTGAATTTATATGTTTACTAGACGGCAGTGTACGATGAACATAAACGAGCAACAAAAACAGGATTTGAATGTAAGTTACAATACACTGAACAAAAGAGAAAAGAAGAGTGCCAGAGAAGAAAAAATAAAGTATCATGAGGCCATGGCAACCGAGGCAGAACAAGCTGCAGGCAAAGGAGACCTCGCAACACTCTACCAAACAGCTAGATACCCGTCCGGGGAAAGTTCGATAAAAATTAAGCCGGTGAAGGATGATAACAGAAAGTCATTCACCAAAGAAGTGGAGCAAAGGAAACACTGGGCTGAACACTTCAGAAGACTTCTAAATCGACCGCCACCTACAACGCACCCAGTAGTACCAACAACGGAGACAGAGCTACCAGTGAACATAGGATTGATTTGAGAAACAGAGTTGGTCAAACTAAAACCTGAAATCCATCCTTGAAGTCTGTGGAAGTTGGTTTAAGTCAAGCAGAGAGGTGCAAAAGGCCTGGTCGCCGTTCTCATGATACTAAAAACTAATAGTTGGAGACTATTCGTGATATCACTCCAAACCGTTCAGTGTTTGTAATCTTCCATATCCATTAAACCCTAATATTTCTGCACGTTACTGTTATTTCTTCGACACATCTCTACTCATTCCAGTTCTTTTGAATCTTTCTCCTTTTTTCTCTACCTTTGTGTGGCATATAAATTGTGGCAACCTGAACTGCTGTATGTCTGTGCAAACATCTACGTTGAGACTGATTCAGTCAGTCATGTTAACTTTATGAAAATTAAATAAATAATTACTATGTAGTGTTTAGCCTATGACTCCTGCTGAAAAATGTGTATTCATCCATTGCTAGCTAGAACTCAGATACACTGGAGGAATTTTCCGTAGCTCACCTGTATTTTGTGAGGGATGATCATACTACCCAGTCTGTCGCAGACTGAAGTGAATTGGGATGGGATGCAAACCTAGGACTTAATGGCAAAAGTCGAGTGCTGTATAACCAGTAAGCCTTACCCCCCCCATACACACACTCACTACTTCTTTACCGTTGTTATTTGAATTCACTTCGAGAAAGAAGTTCTTTTCCGTTTTCTTTATATCCAATGCAATGCCCGGAAGTTGAAATTCATTTTCATTGTTTTATTGTTGTTATTCGTATCTGAGTAAGAAAAAAAGTCGATGCGGTGCTGTACTCTCACTAAATTTGTGTCCTTCAATGCACAGAGTTCGGAATTCATTTAAGTGTTGATATGCATATTTGTAAAAAGTGTTCTCTATATAGAGTAGATGATTTAAATAAATGTAAATTAGCTATTTAAGTAAAAGTCGGTGATTCACATTTAAATATGTGAAAAAGTTGTAGTATTCTCATATCACTAAAAATGAATACACTTGTAAGGTCACTTTCTGTTCAGTATGACTTGATATGCCTTAAAACACATAATCTCAGCTATTATGGTCTAAAAGTTGTCAATACGTTTTCAAATATTTAATTAACCAGTGGATTTCGCAAATACGGTTGTAAACAGTTTGTCTAGATTTCTGATAGCAATATCTGCGCACTCTGAATTCATATATTCGAAACACTAGTACAGATTTAATCGCTAAGACTGTCAAATTTCTGGCCTCAAAATTTAAAAGTGTTGATCGCATATTTCACCTTAATTCTTAGTGTCTAATCTCAGGTGCTCCTCTATGGGTGATGGAACTCAAATCAGTTAACATTCCAAAAAGTGTTGAAACTACCAGTTCAAAAAATAGAGGCCAATAGAGAATTCTCAAACTAAGACATCAGTTAAAACTGTGTTAGCAGGAGCAGCTTGGTTATGGGTGTGACACTGGTCCTAATTTCCCAGTTTTTATCATTAACCCTGTTAAGTCACAACATCTCTTCCTCGATCTAGGATAATATGGTGAAAAGCCGATTCTGGCAAATCAAGTATCGATTCAAGGTACAACTGTTAGAAAAAAAACATAATTCACACCAATAAATAAATGTCTACTCATGTTCATTAAGTCCTTAAAAATACTTTTCAATATTCACTCAATTCCACATCGCACGAAAAGTGCGGATTCGAATGTCATTTTATCTTACTTCTCCAAAGAATTACAGTTTGTAATCCCAGTAATACTGAGGGCAAACAACTAATTTTTTTGACGTAGTTTTCCAATTTTTATTTCTTCCATATGTTGTTGTTACATTATCTCATGCGATAAGTTTGTAATCAATAATCTCAGTCCAGTAAACACAGGTAGTTTGACGGATAATCTGATTAGCATATAATTAATTGTCTTGTACTATTGATTATAAATAATAGTCTAGTATTTCTCAACTCATATATTCTTTATCTATTTAGCTTCAAACTAAGTTTGAAAATCTAAAGAAAACTCACGCAGAAGAAAAAAAGAAACTTGAAGAGAAGAAACGTATCTTAGAAGAAGAAATCGCTGCTTTTGAACGTCGTAAACAACTTGCAGAACAAGCAAGACAAGGGAATCTGACTATGAAGAAAAAGAAATAAGTGATCTGACAAGAAAAACGCCAAATATTTTACCCACTCTCTCTAACCAATTCACATATATACACCAGCATTTTTGACTTCCGGTTACTGCTGTTATTCTTCCTAATCACAATAATCTTTTTTAAAATTAATTAATTAATCAGCTTAATTTCTGTTTTCTACAAACTTTTACCTTATGCCGAACTGATCAGCTAAATTGCATTTGGGAATTTTCTTTCCTTTCGGAGCTATTCAAACCTACTTTATGCCTTTGTTATTTACCTACACTTTGTTGTAGGTGTTAATATAATACAAATTTTATGCTTAATAGTTTTATCTTTGTTTATCTTATGCAATGAGAGAACAAGTCTAGGGAAAGCGTAACTTTTGTTACACCTGAGGTGGGGAGTACAGTATACAGTAATCTTCAGCTTCCTCTACTTTCTTAAGAGCCCAATGTTATCACTTATTACTGTATGTGATTATCATGTTTGTCGCACTCTCCTGTGTTGTTGACTTGAACAAAAATTGTGACTTTGCAGGAAGAAAACATCTTGATATGTTGTAAATATTTCTCTCACTTTGAATCTAAAGCAACAAATATTAAATAGGTAGTATTTGTAGAATTCAAAGATTTTAATAGAACACAGTAGCTTAATGTTCTATACAAGTTAGCATACAAACAAAATGGTTGCGAATAGAATATAATAATGTTTGAAATTAACGGAATCCCACTAGCGAACTGTTTTGATACTTCTTAATCATCCTGGGTTTTAAGCTCTCTGTCGTTTTGATGACGAATAGCTCTCTACTATTGTCTATTATTCGTATGTATTACCGATCGGGTGGTTTGAAATTTTTAGGTTTGTGTTTTCCTGAAGTGAAAGCAGCAGCTCAATAAAGATAGCTGTTACACGTTTCTTCCTTCCATTATACGAAGTACGATAAGCCTCAAACAATAACATGTATAACTAAGCAGTAAAAATCTATATATAAACATGATTTCGAGTATGTTTACAAAGAATGTGATATAAGAATTATAGGGTGTCTACAGTACATAATGCTACGGCGAGTCAGATACAGTTAGTAATTAAGGAATCCAGAAGGTGGAGATGAGTAACCAAGTAGCAACCATATATTCCTTATAATCTGTAAGGCTGCTATATCTCGTTCAAAGATGAACATTATTCCGTGTTTTCGACTATCTCTTCCAACCTTACTTGTCTAAAGTCGTGACATAATAATAAACGTTCAAAACGAATACGGTTGCTGTGATAATACAAGCTGCTGATGGGTAGACTGGGCAACCATTTTAGGAAAAAATTCACCTTCTAAACAGATAACTCCGTCTCGCTCACCAAGAGCATTCCATTTCATTACAGTCAAGAATGGCTCAGATTATTATGATATTGGTTGTTTTATTTCCCATGTGACACGAGTGGAAATACGTACCGGAAGCCCAGCAAAACCGGAGGTGAATTCTGAAGGAGACAACACAGTGTGAATAATTGAATGTCACAGAGAGGACACAAATGCCCCTGGATTCACTAGAGCGGAGAGTAAATAGTAATTGCCATAAAGACCAGCGAAATAGGGAAGTCGATGCAAATAGAAGAGGCAGTCTTATTTGCGAATGTGAAAGATATATTTATGCAGATAAAAATCAGTTCTTAACCGTGGTGCATTGTGTCTCCTTGGTAGTCGGAGGGTGATCTAATCAATGAGGCAAGACGTAAGGTTTCAGCCGCACATTAAGCATCTGATGGTCAGGCGTCTCAAGACGTTTACGCGTTCTTCGGTGTTGAGTGAAAGCCCGACTAATGCAGTGTGTTGATATCTATAGTCTGGATTATTGTATACTTAGTGCATGTCGGTGGTGTGTTTCAATTGTCTTTCCAACTGTGTGTGTATGCTTACATTCTGCTGCCACAACGTCGCCTACTAAAGCATTGGCTTATTCACACGTCACTCGTACGCACCTTTTAGTACAATATTTTTATTCACTTGCTAAGCACGGAAACTGAAGTCAAAAACTATAATTCTCCAGAAGTGAATTCTTTAGTAATCACCAAAGTTAGATAACCTGGATTTAATCGGCATGACCCAGAACTGTGGCTAGCCCAACCAGAGAACTACCATGACTGTCATAGCATTTACATTGAAATCATCAGGTATACAGATGTGTGTCCCCAGTTACCTATTCATATAAGCAAGGAGGACAGGGAACAATTAATTCACACCGCAACATGCACGTGAACGGCTAACTGAATCCAATGTCACTATAAACATGTGTAATTACATATCAAGCTCGTAACCTTCTTTGAGGACGCGAGGTTTGTACAGCTTGTTCTGATAACCCTCCAGTCAACTTCTCACTATATTTCAGTCTGGTTTCTCCACCAATTTGCCCATGACATTGTGGTAAGTAGACTTACACGGTGCATATCTGAGTTATGTCATGACTGAGAAAGGTGGTTATAGTGGACCTAAAACAGACGTTCAGTACTGCTAGCAATGTGTTTGGGCTACGTCAACCGTCTCCCAAAATAACCCAGTCTCTTCTTAGGGTAACTTCAATTTGGTTGATCCAGTTACATCCCACGGTGACCGTGAGTGGTGTCTGCAATCAGTTTACTTCCCTGGTTATTATTCAACTTTCTCCACGTGCAAACGTAGTCTTTGTGTGGCGATTTTGTAAGTCCTACCAAGTCGAAACAGACTATTTGTTGAAGCCGGGGTCTTACACAAAGTGTGAATCCGGGAACGTGAATAGACTACCTGCTAATAAAAACTGAAGCATTTCACCTTAACAACAGATGAGTTTTGGGAGCGCATATAAAGGAGCTGTTCAACTCTAACAATCCTGTCATAACTGAGCCTCCTAAACCTACTGCATAGGTATGCAGTCCATTTAAGCTCATGGCTCTGAAAATTAACGGATAAATTTATGAAGATCTCATGTATTTTTCCACTGCAACCTTAGTAATATTGACAGCGTATTTTCCAATTTTCACACAAGCAAACAAGGAGTCAGGCGTGGACTTCCAAATCAGACGTAGGTTATCAATTTCTGGGAAGTTGAACCGTATAACTCAGAATCGAGTTCGGGGTTCCATACGAGTCCATGCTTTGTCATCTCAATTTCTTGTTTGCTTTACCTAGTCTAATGATGTCTCACAACCATATGTGGCTGTGTTCCTTCATCACCTATTTTATGACAGATCACGTCGGCAGCAAAGACAATTTAGCGACCATTAGACAAACCTCCTGTATCCATGGTCAGATTTTATCATCAACTAATCTTTACGGATGGATGCAACTTATCAGGTAGGTGAAATCGTCAGTACATTCAACTATCTTACACTTATATTATGAACAACATTACTCCTTGTTTTAAGTGAAGTGACTCACTAGTCAAAACTTTTTATGTTACGCTGTATTACACACTAAATTTAAACATATGCTAGTTAAAATGAGGTGTATTATACACAAATAAGTCAGTTACATTTTGAGGTTTACCTGCAAATGATGCTATTGTGAGATTTGCTGTTCATATTACAACATTTAGATATATGCTGCAGAAGTGATTCTGAAAGCCAGATCTTTGCTTGGAGCCAATACAGAATACCATTATTTAGCCTCCTGTACATCAAAAGCACCATGAATTTTCAGCTCATTTAACCAGACCCCTGAAAGCCAACTTAGAAGTCTTCAACAGTAACGGAAAAAATTTGTATTATACAAAGGGGTTTACAAAAATCTGGATGTCAGATGCAACGGAGTTCAAATTAAATTTATATTGAGTTTGTTGTGGTTGCACGCTTGATTTTGATGAGCTCACGAGGTCTATCTGTTTGATCTACATCAACCATTCCTACAAGCAAAAGGTTAGCCTGATAACATGTCATTACCTAAACGTTGAACAACTTTCATACCAGAAGCAACACGGCCAAATATAGTGTGCTTCCCATCTAACCACTGTGTAGGAGCCAATGTGATGAAAAACTGGCTGCCATTAGTATTCGGGCCAGCATTCGCCATGGAGACAACCCCAGCACCTGATAACTACTTTGAAAACAAATTACATAATTGACGTACCTGTATGCTTGAGATCCGGGTGAATCTCATCTTCAAAATAGGCACCGTATATTGAAGCACCACCACGTCCAGTACCAGTCGGATCACCACCTTGGATCATGAAGTCCCGGATAACACGGTGAAATACAACACCATTGTAATAACCACGTCTTGCTAACTCAGCGAAATTAAGACATGTTTTAGGGGCATGTTTCCAATACAACTCGATAGTTATCGTGCCTTGACTTCAAAGTGTATTATGCGAAACAAGACAGGCAGACAAACTTGGTGTCCAATACGACAAAAGCAGGTTGTTCTTGTAGCGACATCCTCAGCGGTAACGCATTAAATCAATTCAGCAGTGGAATACAGTCTTCAGTGTGCTCAATAAGGAAGTTGGTGGAAGTTTAATTCAAAACTTACAACCTATATTGTGTAAAAATTCATTTCAATCTCTTTATGTCAAACACTGGATGGTATAGTAATTTTCGCCAAATGTTTGGATAGATTATTGGCTGTTTCATTTATATTTGCGATGCATTTGGTCTGAAAATGAGTATTCTTTTTATTTCCAAACTACATAGTGCAATGTGTTGAATATATTCCCGAAAAAAAATTTAAGAACTATTTGATGGGGAAGAACTCATGAAGTGAGCAGGACACTGCCTAGGGTTTTGGTGAATTACCCGAAGATAAAACACGGTGATGCTGAAGTCATACATATGCTCGTTATAGTAACAGTGGAATTCGGATGTAGTACGTTCTGTTTTCCGTTACATTTTGGCATGATTCGTTATATGTTATCCATCTTTGTTTCGATCTCTCAAAAATGTTTTTCTGGTTCCAGTCCTGCAACCGTTAGCTCTTTCACTCACTAGTTATGTTTAACCATATGAAAAAGTTATGAATCCAGTCAGCTGCCAAGATGATGACTGGTGGAACATACCTTCTTGCTACAACAAGCAACTCAGAAAATGTTGTAGCGAGTCACACAGCTAGGCAGTGCTCTGCATATGTCGAGTCGCATTGTCACTACCATCCAACGCAGCTGCAACTAAGAGTGAAACTATGCTGACAAACTAATAGTACAATTGCTTCTAAAAAATAAGCACCTGGTCCTGGCATGGATCACATCACCGCACTCTATATACGTTTCACTAAACTTCAGATATATCACAAATATGTCTGTCTATAGGACGGCTGAAGACTGAAATACAGGAAGTAAAGTGCAGTAAGACTATGGATGCTGGATATTCAGAAGATATGACCAGCGTATCTGAACTATAAGCACAGATTAGTGACATAAGATCTCAGGTCTCTGAACCTACGTCCCTGAGCATCTTGAATAGAACCATAAACTTTGGCGAACTTGACACGAAATGGACAACCAAGTGAGACAATCTCATAAACTTCACCACAACATCGGTCATCACGAGACTAGATACAAAACTAAGTGTGATGGTCTAAAACATACTGGATAATGAGGGATTAAAAATGTTCTAGAGAACTTAGATGGGGAGATGAATATGCTCCACACTCAAACAAAGAGCTTCAGGGTGAAAAAGAGCCAGCTTGATCACCTTCAGTTTGAAAGATAGGAATACGTGGCCCACTATTGGTATGGCTTAAATCATCCCTTAACAACAGGTTCCAAATAGTTAAACTTGGGTCTGAAATTTCCAAACCTAGCCTAAACACTTCTGGTGCAGTTCAGAGTAACATCATAGGACCCCCTATTTACACTTCATATAAATGATAAATGCGCTTGGTTATCACATTGTAAGCCATTCATCTTTGCAGATGACCTAAAAGTAGCTTACACATTCCAATGTGATGACCTGGGGTACTTCTAGAATGTTGTATAGGATGAATTAGATAAAGTGACTGCTTGGTCGTCTTTATGGAATCTACAACTGATTCTGAACAAATGTGGTTGGATCTGCTTGGGCTCATCCTCAATCGACATGAAATTAACGCTTCAATCTGCTAACCTACCCGGACTCCACAGCGTCGTTGACTTAGGCCAAAGGTACTCTAGTGACCTAACATTTTCTGAGCAAGTGGCATCATGGACACGGAAGTCGAGGATGCTCTTAGGATACATACTCAGGAACTTTCACGAAAATGAAACCAAGTTCATTCTATACAAAACGTGTTTGAGGCGACTATTAGAACACTACCCATTGATTATTAGCAGCACTCGCAAACATGACAAGCCGAGGATGGAAAGTATCCAACGACATTTCACGTCCAAATTACCTGGATATGAAAGACTACATCCCGCGGTGTATGAATCTAAAACTTGACACACTCTCGACGAGACGAATTATTGTATACCTAATATTCTTCTTAAAGTCCTACACAAAATGTTATTCTCAGACAGTTAGGAAAAACAATTCTCACCACAAGGCTCTAAAGGTCTGAGTAACCAAAATTCCATGGTAGACAATAAAACCTTTAAATCATCACTCCATGAAAACTTCTTCACTGTCATGCATCCTAAAATATGGAACAGTGTACCCTTAGAAATCAGAACCTGCACATTGGTAATAAGTTTCAGACACTCTTAGTACAGACTGATTACACTAAAAAACTGCTTATTTTTAGAACGAATCAATTACTAGATTCCTACAGTGTCTAAAGAACACGTAAAGCTGCACTAATTACTGTATAAACGATATAAACACTAGCCTCATAGGTAAGTAAAGAGACTAAGAGAACGTGAATTTATATGTTTACTAGACGGCAGTGTACGATGAACATAAACGAGCAACAAAAACAGGATTTGAATGTAAGTTACAATACACTGAACAAAAGAGAAAAGAAGAGTGCCAGAGAAGAAAAAATAAAGTATCATGAGGCCATGGCAACCGAGGCAGAACAAGCTGCAGGCAAAGGAGACCTCGCAACACTCTACCAAACAGCTAGATACCCGTCCGGGGAAAGTTCGATAAGAATTAAGCCGGTGAAGGATGATAACAGAAAGTCATTCACCAAAGAAGTGGAGCAAAGGAAACACTGGGCTGAACACTTCAGAAGACTTCTAAATCGACCGCCACCTACAACGCACCCAGTAGTACCAACAACGGAGACAGAGCTACCAGTGAACATAGGATTGATTTGAGAAACAGAGTTGGTCAAACTAAAACCTGAAATCCATCCTTGAAGTCTGTGGAAGTTGGTTTAAGTCAAGCAGAGAGGTGCAAAAGGCCTGGTCGCCGTTCTCATGATACTAAAAACTAATAGTTGGAGACTATTCGTGATATCACTCCAAACCGTTCAGTGTTTGTAATCTTCCATATCCATTAAACCCTAATATTTCTGCACGTTACTGTTATTTCTTCGACACATCTCTACTCATTCCAGTTCTTTTGAATCTTTCTCCTTTTTTCTCTACCTTTGTGTGGCATATAAATTGTGGCAACCTGAACTGCTGTATGTCTGTGCAAACATCTACGTTGAGACTGATTCAGTCAGTCATGTTAACTTTATGAAAATTAAATAAATAATTACTATGTAGTGTTTAGCCTATGACTCCTGCTGAAAAATGTGTATTCATCCATTGCTAGCTAGAACTCAGATACACTGGAGGAATTTTCCGTAGCTCACCTGTATTTTGTGAGGGATGATCATACTACCCAGTCTGTCGCAGACTGAAGTGAATTGGGATGGGACGCAAACCTAGGACTTAATGGCAAAAGTCGAGTGCTGTATAACCAGTAAGCCTTACCCCCCCCCATACACACACTCACTACTTCTTTACCGTTGTTATTTGAATTCACTTCGAGAAAGAAGTTCTTTTCCGTTTTCTTTATATCCAATGCAATGCCCGGAAGTTGAAATTCATTTTCATTGTTTTATTGTTGTTATTCGTATCTGAGTAAGAAAAACAAGTCGATGCGGTGCTGTACTCTCACTAAATTTGTGTCCTTCAATGCACAGAGTTCGGAATTCATTTAAGTGTTGATATGCATATTTGTAAAAAGTGTTCTCTATATAGAGTAGATGATTTAAATAAATGTAAATTAGCTATTTAAGTAAAAGTCGGTGATTCACATTTAAATATGTGAAAAAGTTGTAGTATTCTCATATCACTAAAAATGAATACACTTGTAAGGTCACTTTCTGTTCAGTATGACTTGATATGCCTTAAAACACATAATCTCAGCTATTATGGTCTAAAAGTTGTCAATACGTTTTCAAATATTTAATTAACCAGTGGATTTCGCAAATACGGTTGTAAACAGTTTGTCTAGATTTCTGATAGCAATATCTGCGCACTCTGAATTCATATATTCGAAACACTAGTACAGATTTAATCGCTAAGACTGTCAAATTTCTGGCCTCAAAATTTAAAAGTGTTGATCGCATATTTCACCTTAATTCTTAGTGTCTAATCTCAGGTGCTCCTCTATGGGTGATGGAACTCAAATCAGTTAACATTCCAAAAAGTGTTGAAACTACCAGTTCAAAAAATAGAGGCCAATAGAGAATTCTCAAACTAAGACATCAGTTAAAACTGTGTTAGCAGGAGCAGCTTGGTTATGGGTGTGACACTGGTCCTAATTTCCCAGTTTTTATCATTAACCCTGTTAAGTCACAACATCTCTTCCTCGATCTAGGATAATATGGTGAAAAGCCGATTCTGGCAAATCAAGTATCGATTCAAGGTACAACTGTTAGAAAAAAAAACATAATTCACACCAATAAATAAATGTCTACTCATGTTCATTAAGTCCTTAAAAATACTTTTCAATATTCACTCAATTCCACATCGCACGAAAAGTGCGGATTCGAATGTCATTTTATCTTACTTCTCCAAAGAATTACAGTTTGTAATCCCAGTAATACTGAGGGCAAACAACTAATTTTTTTGACGTAGTTTTCCAATTTTTATTTCTTCCATATGTTGTTGTTACATTATCTCATGCGATAAGTTTGTAATCAATAATCTCAGTCCAGTAAACACAGGTAGTTTGACGGATAATCTGATTAGCATATAATTAATTGTCTTGTACTATTGATTATAAATAATAGTCTAGTATTTCTCAACTCATATATTCTTTATCTATTTAGCTTCAAACTAAGTTTGAAAATCTAAAGAAAACTCACGCAGAAGAAAAAAAGAAACTTGAAGAGAAGAAACGTATCTTAGAAGAAGAAATCGCTGCTTTTGAACGTCGTAAACAACTTGCAGAACAAGCAAGACAAGGGAATCTGACTATGAAGAAAAAGAAATAAGTGATCTGACAAGAAAAACGCCAAATATTTTACCCACTCTCTCTAACCAATTCACATATACACACCAGCATTTTTGACTTCCGGTTAC